TGCGAGAGTGGCGTCATCGGGCGGTGAGGCTAAGTACTTATCGGACCACCCTCGTATATCCAGTCCTTGCTGCGTTCCCTCTCAATTTTTCCTCTTTCTCTACATTCCGTAACCACTCCATCACCTCACATTCCCTAGGCGTCAAATCATCCTCAAGCATTAAATTCGTCTTCCTTAGTTTTTCCCTACCCCCCATTAAATCCAACTTATCCCCCATGCTGCACATTGTCATAATCATCCCTTCCCTCGTGCATTCTACTTTATAAGCCCTTACCGGCCTCTGCATCAGTTCCTCCATTTTCTCCCTCATTCTTTTAATTACATCTCTTCCCCTTATCGCTGCCAATCCCCTAACCTTGATATTCTGTTTTCTCGCCGCCCTTTCCTTTAACTCAAACTCCAACTCTCCCTTGGCCATCTTGTCTGGTTTAGTGTTGAAGCTCCTTGTACCTTCCCTTTCCCATACTTGCCTTCCCTTCTCAGCTCTTCTTGATTCTACCACTCTTCCGTCCCCCTTCCCTTCATTTACTCTTTCTCCCATTTCTAGCCGATCCCTAGCCTCCCCAGTGACCTGCTGTGCCGTATTCCTCTCTTTGCCGTTGTCGTCGATCCTCCCCTGTGTGACTGCATTCCAACGTCGTCCGTTCCCCTACGTTTCCCTTTCCCTATTAATTCTATTACATAGTTTCATTTCTATAATTTCCCTTTGTTTCCCTTCTTCCTCCAGCTTCGCCTTTAGCCTCCTTATCTCATTATTGCTTCTATTCAATTCCTGCATCACTTCAAAAAATTTCCCCTCGATTACCCCAATCCTCTTCAAATTATTCTCCTTCACTCTCTCCAATGTCCTCCATAACATTTCCTCCATTTTATCAAACTTTTTAGAGCAACTATCGCATGATTTTTCTTTATTCCTCTTATATATCCCTCCTTTGGTTAGTCCGTCCTGCGTCTCTTTGCCTTTTCTCGTCTCGTCTGCCAAACACCATTGTCCCTCCATCGATAAACTCCTCTGTTCCACTTTCGCTCTCCTCCCTCCCCACCTTTTCGTCAATATGCTCATCGCCTTCGGCTTCCTCTCCCTCGCTCTCCTCGCTTCTTTGTTCCTTGGCCCCCTCTTTCCCCTTTCCCCCTGCCACTGCCTGTCCGCATGCTGCATCACTCTCCTCTTCCCCCCTCTTAAGTTCCCTTCCTCACTTTCGTCACCTGCCTCTTTTGCACCCCCTTTTATTACAAATTTATCCATACCTTTCGCATTCCTTGCCTGCTCACACCTTAACTTCGGCGATCTACCTCGTCCTCGCTTTCCCATTTCTTGGCTTGAGTGCAGATGGCCGTCTCCTTCTCGCTGCTCTCCTCTATGCCTTCGAACTTACGCCTACTTCCCCTCGATTCCTTCTCTTCGCCCTAACCTCTGACAGCACTCTCCACTTCAAGCACCTGCCTTTTCCGACACACTTTTCCTCTCACTCCACCTTCACTCTCACTTGAACCTCCCCCTTTTCCGAACTGTTTCCTTCTACTTTTCACACTCTCCCTTCGATTTTACCTTACTTTACTTTATTTTCAGCACTCGCTACGGCACACACGATCCTTAGTCTACCGCGGCCATCCGCACTTTACATATAAAAACTTTTGAAGAATACCATAATATACGCTGTACTGTTCAAATCAATAGTATTGATGTGATCTATCAAGCTGGTCGAGTTGTTTAGGCCCGGCACGCGCGTGTTTCGATGTGGTAATATGATAGAAGAACCTAATGAGTTTCCGTCATTCGAGCCAACAGCCTTGTCACTGCGTTTCAGGATTACTCAATTAGTTTGGAAAGGATGATTTATTGTTTTTTATTATTAGGCTCGTTCTCTCTAGTCGTCAGACTACGGCGGCGGAGTATAAATTTCTAGCTACCTCTTTTCTGGTCATAAGGAATGGATCAGATGATACACGTATAACTCGACGTTTAGCGACAGGGTAACTTTGTACGATATCATACCATTTATAATGCGGAAGATTGAAGTCTCCAATTATAACTATAGTTGCAGAAGGGTAGATCTGTGAAAAATTCTCTAAAGAAGAACAAAAGCCATCCATAGAGGGAGAGAAAGTCGATGAAGATAGCGACGATAATGATCGTAAGTAGGCTACTGAAAGTAACAGAGGAAAGGCGTGACTAAACTTAAGGATCACATACTGCAAATTAAAGTTGCAAATTTGTATAGACTAATGTAAGTATGCGTCCTCAATCCAAATCGATATCCCTCCGCCTCTTAATTTACCACTGCAAGGCAGACTTTAGTCACTCTTAATATAATTATAGCCAGAAATCTGAAGAATAGCATCGCTGACAGTGTCATCTAGCTAAAACTCTGTTATAATATTATCTTTTTAAGCACTCGTGAGAACAGTATAAATAAATAAATCGATTTCTGATTTAATACTTCCTATATTCTGATGGTAATTTGACAAGTTAATATATTTATTGGCTATAATTGTATGGTTTTTTTTTATGAGACAATCTTCGAGACGCCATTATTGTATTTGATCTTAAGAGCTGCTTCCCCCGTCTAAGAACTCTGCAATTTGATCATGGAGTTACTGACGCTGCTTAATGGTTCCATTCGGGCCACACTTTATGTTCGGCATGGATTTAAATAATTCCGAATCATGGCGAATAATCCACAGAGAATCATCATAAGTACCAAGAAAAAAGTTAAGCGGTCTAATAGCATCTCTAGTTTTCTTATCCAGGCGTAAAGTAGTGACTAGTGACATCGAAGTCAGCTCCGACAATAAGTGCTGTGAAGTCCGTAGTATTGAGTGACGCAAAGGATCGTTCGGGCAAATTGTAAACAACAATATTACGCTCCCTTTTCCTCTGATCATAAAGTTCGGCGAGAGTTTCTTTTTCAACATCAGCAGACAAATTTGTAACTATGCTCTCGATCGATGTGACTTTACCCTCCAAATTATCAATACAAATAGTCTTTTCGGACAGTCCTGCATTAATTTTCTCAACTTATAATGAGAAGTGTTGAGTAGCAGTGGATAGTAGATTTGGATTTTTTTCTTGATAAGGGATTCAGGTTAACTAAATTCATTAGTAATTTTCTTCTTTCTTTTTCAATCATATACTCGAGATTCATCGAACTACGTTTTGCTTTCGTAGGTAAATATATATAATAGGTTTGCAATATAAGATTTTTTCGTTCCTAGGCATAGGTAACTCTGGCATTTTTCCATATTTTCTGGCATGTTCTCTATTTCAAACCTAAAAAGATTTATCTGATTCATTATTTTCTTCTCTTCGTCTTCTTCTTCTAACTTGACATTATCTTTCAGTATGGAATGAAAGGTACAATAATGATTAATTACATATTCCTCTTCTACTTACTTATCAGTATTCTCAAAATCTTCGCTTATATTTGCTATAAATTGTTTAATATTGAATTGATAAATCAATTGTGCTTTTTCATCACTTCTGTTATTACAATTTGTATTCTGCTCTTCAGCATTGACCTTTTCAATTTACTCCTATATATCACTTACAGTAATTAATACTCGTTTGACGTCCTGGTGCAATGATATCTTGTCATTACCTACTATATTTTCCGATATAACATTATCTCAATCGTATAAATAGTTATTTTCTGTGATATATATTAACTGCATAAACTTACTATTGTAAAATTTTTGTGGTGTCGACTTGATAGTTGTATTTATTCGATATTTATACATCATTGGCTATAATTCAAGTTTTTGCCCATTTATTTCCAAATATCTTATGTATAATCTGAGCTTTTGCTATAACTAAACTTTTATTCCTAATATTCCATTATATGGGATTGAAAAACTATTAAGTTCTAAATGAAAATCAAAATTCTTCTTATTAATAAATAATTTGGTCGATCCTAAAGTTCTTCCGGCATTTTCCGTAATTCTAGAAAAAAATATTTGTTATTTCTTATTGATGTTATTTGTTTAGATAATACGACATTGAATGATATTTAATTGTGCCCCACTGTCTAACTGTAGACAAAGTTTTTTATTCAAATATATGTTATCAATTTCTATATATTGCAACAAATTGTAAGACATATGTTTCTGTTACCATGTCTGTTTTTGGTGGGCCGCCATTGATGCGGCTATAAAAGGAAAGGAACTATAAAAGGACTTATAAAAGGAACGAGGTAGTAAGCTACGCGACAACGTAGTAGGACAGGAAAAGCTGTTTCCGGGGCTTCGGGACATAAGTGGGGAGAAAAGCCACAAGAAAGAGAGAAATTTAGGCCACTGCCGGCGTCTCTCCTCCTGACACGCTCGAGGCGAGCTCTGACGCATGCTAGTCCCAAATGAACTCGGTACCCTCACGTTGATTAGTTTATAATCTGTATAAATAATTGATATGAAATCCTTTTTTTCCTATTTCTTTGTATAGCGTACCAGTATGGAGTCCGCGTTTAATTTTTTTGTGTATAAGAAATTAAATTGCATAACATTGTTAATAAACTGATAAGAGTGAATTCTTTATACTATCTTTAACTAGTGACATATTCCCACTTCCTTTAATCCGAACATAATGATAACTGAAAAAAGTCGACCTTTCTGTCAAACAATAACAATAAGAAAAGGCTTATAAGTAATTACCTGTAGTCAATTTTGTTAAAACTCATTGTATAAGGCTGTTGTAAGTTTTTTCACATTTAACACGGGTACGCCTGAAGCGAATATTCGAATGTGATTGCTAATGAGATGTAGTACAGTTTTATAACTTGAATAACAAACGATCTAGTTTTCTCCCTCCACCCTCGATTAAAAAACTTCGCATATATATTCCATAGAAGTCATTAAAAAAATTATATCCCTTGTATATTATCGAAAAAAATAACTTCTCAGAAAGAATATGAGTTTGACATAATTTCATTTATTTGATAAAATAATTTAATTAATTTTTATGATATACACATACACACCCATACACCCACACACACATACGGTACCTTGTCTTAGAATTCCAAGTAATTCATTGGCATCTTCGAGTTCTTTCATCAATTTACTAATCTTATTTTGATGACTGATATTGTCATTTTCATAATCTAATACTAATTTGTTGTGTGTTGTTTCCAAAATACCATACTGTTCTGTTGCATGCTCCAATAAATCTTGCAACTCTTTAACTGCAACATTATAATCATCAACTTTAGCATTAGCTTCATCGGCCATTCCTTTATATACATCTGCTAATCTTATTTGAGCTGTAATTTCTTCCCTATAAGAGGAATGCATTGCTATTTCATGATTTCGTTGATCATCCAATTTCTGTGTTAATTCTTCATGACGACGTTGAAGAATGGTATTAGCTTCACGTATTTGAACAATAGAGTCATTAGCGATTTGCAATTCCTCTTCACATTGCGATAACCGAGTTTGTATTAATAAATTACGCGCAGAAGCCTCCGATCGCACATTTTGTAACTCCATAGTTCTTTTTGATAGTTCTTCCTCTAAGCTAAATACTTGTTGAACGAAAAGAACTCGTTCTTGCTCTGAGCGCTTTTCTCTGTAAATATAACATCACATTATTTTTTATTTATATGGTTCTTTCTGATATTTGTACATTTGTTACAATAATTTATTATTATAATATCATAATATTTCAAATTATACTTATGTATAAATAAAATAGTATCGACGATAATTACAATAAAAATAATAGAAGTAATCTCCAAGACATTTAAGAAAACCGCCAGGCATTCGAGAGATCGATTTTGATAAAACTATTATGCATTATTTCTTACAAAAATAAAAATATATATAATCTTACTTGGATTTCATCAGATTTACAGAAACGTTAAGTCATTTAGATGTGTTTGCGGTAAAGTAGATATCTTAGTTGCAGGCGCCAAAAACGTGAGATTAATTGCCATTCAAGCAACTCTATCATTTTTATCCGCAAGAAATATTATTACGTGTTACATTGTACTTCCTGTCCTATTACTGAGTCGACAGACTCCGATTTAGGTATCGATAACAGACATTTCTTTGATAATCAAATTATAGTAGTGAGAGATGCAGACCATTCTGTTTTACAGTAAGTTTTGATTTTCAATGAAATTAATGATCTGAATTTAGTATAGATTCTAGCTAGCTGACAACTAAAATAAAGGAAGAATTTTTGGCAAAAACCTATGTAGTAGATAGTTTTACGGTAAACGACAAAACTATTTTAAAACTCAAAACCATTTTGGCCTTAACCCATTTCTTCCCAAGGCGCCATTTTATAGTCGATTTGTTTTTGACCGAGGAAAACCTCGAAATAATCGAAAATGTATACTAGAAGTCACTTTGCTATTGTAAAATTTCCCGCTCTTTACGAATCTGCAGTCAGAATTAGGATATTTTTCACGGAAAATTACAAAATGGCGTCTTGAATGTTGATGAAAATTTAGTATTACATTAGAATTTTTCTCTCAGAAATTTATAGAAATCATTCGTCTGAAATTCATCTGAAATTTATAGAATCAGGATGAAAATGTAGATTTACATTGAAAATGTCAGTTCTTTGATAAACCTAGGCATTACGAATATTCCTGGAACATTTTTCCAAGATGGCGGCCAGCAACATGTTGACAAGCGGGGAAATCTAAAATTTTCTAAATAAAAGTCGATTTAGAGAATGAATATATACTACCTATACTTTCGATGTCGCTGAATACAATGCTAGTGTCAATTTCAATTTTACAAAATGGCGGATCCAATATGGCGTCGGTAATACCAAAATCAGTTTGTGTTGATAAAATCGCAAATCTAAGTGCTACATTTTGTCTTGAATTTTTAGCACTTTTTCTAGTATTTTCCAAAATAATTGATGCAATAATGAAAGAAATTATTCATCAAGCGTACCTGTTTTTTTAAGATGGTAAGAGTCAAAACAATTTGCACATAGATACTCTTGACATTGTTCGCAATAAATATTCGTACGTTTCTTGCAGTCATTGCTAGCTTTGCATATTCTTTGTGAAGATTTTGTGGATTTATTGTGGATATGATGATACTCTCTGAAACAAGTATCACAGAAATGAGTTTTGCACTCATAGCAATAAAATATTGTTCTTATGGTACACTTTATACACATTCGTCTACGATCAGGTATTGTGAGTTTCAAATGCTTTGATAACTTTTCAATCGGTTGCTCTAAATAAGACTGCAACACTTTTTGCAAAATCTTTACTAGACATTCTCTTTTTGTTCATCATATTGTACAAAATCAAAGCATTTGTCAGTGAAGACTCGATCAATCTACATAAAATAACCCATGTCCATTTCTTTGAACCAATATTCGTTTTTAGATCACTGCAGTATTGATCATGAAGATCAACTCCTCCCATAAATTTGTTGTATGTCTTGAATGCTCCAGGAAATTCAATTGGTACTTTACGTTTAGCTGTTTTATCGAATCGTTCCATTGGAATAGTAGGTGTAACGCCAACGGCTGTAGATAATATGGACACTGGTTTCGAGTCCATTACCGTAATGTAATTTATACCACTGGTTTTATCATGACTTAAAACATAAGATCCTCTAACAGCTTTCTTTTTATCTAGTTTATGTTTATCTATCAATGTCTTCTGTTCGGGATTTTTGATCAATGTTTTCGAGTTTTTACTTGATTTATCCAACACTTTTGGAAACATCTCCTTTGTAAAAACACGATCATCTCTAACCGTACCTGTTGCACGCAGGTTTTGTTTTTTCAAGTGTACCAGTAAATCGGGGGATGTGAAAAATCTATCAAAATATAGATGATATTTAGCTACATCATTCTTATCGACCGATGTTAGAAAAACATGAAGCATATTCATTACTGCCCGAGATCCTAAACTGCATTTAGAGAACTTCGTGTCACTTTGACAATCATTTTTTCCACAATAGATATCTATTTCTAAAACAAATCGATTAGAAGTACAAAGAGCCCATAATTTTATTCCAAAACGTATTAGTTTGTCTTTGATGAATTGTTTTAGAAGCGTGCGACCGAAAAATTCAATCATCATTTTATCTATTGATAAAGAAGAGCAAAAAAATCCAAACTGTTTTACATTTTCTCTGAAAATGTTTAAAATTACACGAACTTTCCAAACTTTGTCATTATCAGTCTTATCCGAATTTTTCGAAGTTTTCAAATTAGACTTAATTTTTTCAAACAAATTTCTATTCATCGTTTCTGAAACAACATCGGAATGCCACATTTCATCAGTCGACCAGTAATCTCTATAGCTTTTACGTATATTGGAAGTGGAAAAAATGATAATACCTAAAAATTTGTTGAAATGATCTGGATCTAATTCAAATCCATTTTCAGTTATCGCTTCAATAATGTAATCTCTCATTCTATCACAAAAAAACATTTCAAATAATTCTCGAGGTTCCTTTCCTGGTACATTTTGTTTTATTGCTTCAAAATTATATATTTCTGATTCAAGTTGAACATCGCATGGTCTTTCTTGATCTATCCATTCGTATTTATGTGAGGCATCTAACTTTATCTCGTTCGCGGAAAAATTTTGATACACTTCTTCATAAGATAAGGCTACTGCATCAGTGAATCTAGAAGTTCCATCAGCTTCTCCGTCATTATCGAGACCCTCTACGTCACTATTATCACCATCGGGTACCCACATAACTTCATGATCATTTTCACCTTCATCACTATGATCATTGTTTTCTACAACACTGCTATCAACACTGGCATTCCTCATCGACTTACGTTTCGGCATGATTTTGCCAGTTTTATGAAACTTCTTTTAGAGTCCGAATCTAATAAATATTTATCTTGAAAAAATACTCGGTGAATAGTAAAATTCGCCAATTATCCTGAAAAGGACTATTGGAGAGACAGCCGAAGAAAAGAGTGAATATGCTCCAACTATCTTGAAAAAGACCGTTAGAGAAATACGCACTTTTCAATCCTCCACAAGATGGAAAATCTCGCCAATTATCCTGAAAAGGACTATTGGAGAGACAGCCGAAGAAAAGAGTGAATATCTTCCAACTATCTTGAAAAAGACCGTTAGAGAAATACGCACTTTTCAATCCTCCACAAGATGGAAAATTTCGCCAATTATCCTGAAAAGGACTATTAGAGAGGCAGCCGAAGAAAATATGAATATGCTCTAACTATCTTGAAAAAGACCGTTATAAAATACACACTTTACAATACTCGAGAAGACAAAGGATTTATCCAACTGTAGGGACAAGGAATCCAGAAAAAAATATAGTAATTAGATTCGCAATTTTATCAACATTACCTGATTTTGGTACTACCGACGCCATATTAGATCCGCTATTTTGTAAAATTGAAAACGGACATTAGCATTGTATTCAGCGATATCGAAAACATCGGAATTGAGTACCCACTCACTGGTGCTCATCATTTTGGTATTAACGACGCCATATTGGATCCGCCATTTTGTAAAATTGAAATTGACACTAGGATTGTATTCAGCGACATCGAAAGTATAGGTAGTATATATTCATTCTCTAAATCGGCTTTTATTTAGAAAATTTTAGATTTCCCCGCTTGTCAACATGTTGCTGGCCGCCATCTTGGAAAAATGTTCCAGGAAAATTCGTAATGCCTAGGTTTATCAAAGAACTAACATTTTCAATGTAAATCTACAGTTTCATCCTGATTCTATAAATTTCAGTAACTAATTTCTGAAAGAAAAATTCGAATGTAATACTAAATTTTCATCAACATTCAAGACGCCATTTTGTAATTTTCCGTGAAAAATATCCTAATTCTAACTGCAGATTCGTAAAGGGCGGGAAATTTTACAATAGAAAAGTGACTTCTAGTATACATTTTCGATTATTTTGAGGTTTTCCTCGGTCAAAAACAAATCGACTATAAAATGGCGCCTTGGGAAGAAATGGGTTAAAGCCTTTTTTTTTTTTCAAATTTTACCCTGTAAAGGAACAATAATATGGAGTTCTAAATAAAAATTGCAATGTTATTAAAGTCCTTATATAATTTATTACAATTAATCGATTACAAAAAATTAGTACATTTACACTATCTAGGTTTCTATTATCTATTTACATAAAAAATTGTTAGAACTCATGAATTAAAAACAGAACCTGAATGCTGAATCGAAACTTAAAGGTTTATGGATTAAACCTAGCAATTTTAGACGCGGAGATAGACGCGCATATGAATCGTGAAAAGTTTTCGTGAGCTATTACAGTAGCAGTAAATACTGAGAAGTGACGTCAACTGTCCTGTAGAGCTACCATAAGCTCGAGGGAATCGAGTATTTTACCTAGGTAGGATCAAATCATAAGCACGTAACACTTAACCTAATAAAGATTATCACGTTGAGGTTAATTGAATTTCCCTGCTCGGCACATGAATTTTAACCTTGTAACAGAGTAATACGACCGACGGCTGGATAGTTTAGTCCATGGTAATCCGCATAATATTTATATAGTAGGGATTTGGGAGATGCAAACGTCCTCACAACAAAATAGTGCACCAGACGTATTCACTAACTATACGAG